CTCTCTCTCTCTCTCTCTCTCTCTCTCTCTCTCTCTCTCTGTACATGTGCATGGGTGCCTGTGGAGGCCAAAAGGTATCAGATCTCCCTGAGCTGGAGTCAAAGGTGGCTGTGATCCCTCCTCCCCAATGTGGGTGCTGGGAACTGAACAATGATCCTCTGCAAGAGCAGCAAGTGTTTTCAAACACTAAACCATCTCTCCAGTCCCATGATCTGTTGTAAGACGATTGCTAAACAGTCTTATTAATAAAAAACCCGGAGCCAGATATTGGGGTGAAAGCTGAAAGATCAGAGGGCAAGCCAGCCGCGTCTTACCTCTAGGAACTCCTCAGCCCAAGAGAGCGCTACTTCTTGTATACTTATGCATGCCTATATACCTTTCTGTGCCCTGCCATCTCACTTCCTCTCTCCGCCCAGCTACATCACTTCCTCTTTCCGCCTGTCCAGACCTCCAGACCTCTATGGGATTAAAGGCATGTGCTACCACACCTGGCTCTGTTCCCAGTGTGGCCTTAAACTCACAGAGATCCGGATGGATCTCTACCTTCCCAATGCTGGGATTAAAGGTGTGTGCTACCACTGCCTGCCATCTATGTTTAATATAGTGGCTGGCTTTTTCTTCTGATCCCCAGGTAACCTTTGTTGGGGTATACAAATAAAATATCACCACAATCTATATTTTATCATAAATTTTACCAAGAATTTTGGTCTTTCTTATCTAATTACTCTTTGTGTGAAGGCAAATTTCAAGTAATGCTTCCTTCTCTGCTGTCTTTCCAGAACCTTCTTTGACTTTAAGAAGTTGATAGATGTTGCTGAATTTCTTGGAGGATGATATTTGGAGGATGATATTGCTATGAAGAGAAATCATGACCAAAGCAAATGATCAAAAAGAGCATTTAATTGGGGGCTTGCTTACAGTTCAGAGAGTCAATCCATTATCATCACAGCAAAGAACATGGCTACATGCAGGCAGGCATGGTGCTGGAGAGGTAGAGACTGAGCCTGGCATGGGCTTTGAAACCTCATAGCCCACCCTCAGTGACACACCTCTTCTAACAAGGTTACACCTCCTAATCCTTCCTAAATAGTCCTTCAACTGGAAACCAAACATTCAAGTATAGGAGCCTATAGGGGCCATTCTCAACTTAAACAATATGCTCTATGTGGGCATTTTATTTAAATTAATAGAGACTTTCTGTTTCTAAACAGCAAAGGGGAATTGCTGAGCATTCCTGGAAGAAGTTGTATAGCCTATGCATTCTCCTTCTGAAGCAAAGTCTGGGAACAGGTACCAAAGAGCTTGGTAAGTGAGGGTGTGGGCTTTGGCAAACTCTTTATAGGCTGCCCTGAGCCAATGCAGCTGGAGGACAGGAAAACATGCTGACTTTTGGAAACCCAGGCAGGAGACAGATGCATATGAATCTTTTCATGATCCACGTTTGAAGCAGAAAATGCAGATTGCTGTAGGCCAAGTTTGAATCCAAACATGCTGGAGAAGTTTATTTGGGCATTTCTCAAACCACAGGTCACATGTCTGTGTTTCTTCAGATTCCTTAAGAAACCAAGTCATCTGAGAAGGACAGCTGTTTTTATTACCCCTCTATTTCAACAAGCTTCTTGTTAACGGTGAGGAACTTTTGACATTTTCAGACTTTATATTTACTTTATCTGTATACCATACGAATAAACCCAAGGCCTCTGAAACTAGCAATTGACTCAGAATCATCTTGTAGAAAAAAAACAAAACAGTCTATATTTGACTTTTTCTTCCAAATTGGGGTGTGGATCAAGTCTGCTTGTTGGCTAATTACATGTTTTAGAACATTAGATTCAACAGGCTTTGTACGTTTGTGTCAACATTTGTTTTTGTGAATTTCACGTTTACTCCCAACTCACTGAACGCGGTGCATGGCCTGACCACATTGGGGAGGGAATCCCACCTCCCTCTCCACACATCCCACTTGGTGCTGTACCTCTCACTTGGAGCCTTAAGACAAAAACTCAGAAGAAACTGTTTCTTTTAGGACTTCTAGGCTGATGATGAACCTCCAGACTAGATTAAGATTATGTGGAACTGATCAATTCAGTGTAAGATCAAAGGCCCTGCTGAGCACAATTTTCTTTCTTCGTTTAAAGTTTTTCTTAATGAAAATGTTGTATTTTACAAAGACCCATTAAAGAATAATAGAAATAGCTATTTCTAGAAGTCAATAACTTAACTAAATCTATAGCACTGTTAAATTGATATGAATTTTATAGACTACTTACCCACAGACCATCGAGATCATTAATAGTTCCCAAAGATTATTACCTCCTAAAAACCATACACTCTGTCTCATTCCTTCTAAGTCCACCATGTGTTTTCCATCCATTCATTAAAAAATCCATAAAATTATCCAAGCTTCCACCTATCAGGAATCTACATAAAGTATGACCCAGAAGATGGTGGGATATTTCTCATGGGGTTATCAGAGTAAAGACCACTGGGTATTTACTATGTACTTCCTATTCACAAGTACCATGGTAAGTCATATACAATACTGTGAGGTCTAGTTTCAGAGGAATTAGTCCCTAAATGCAAATCTTTCAACTGGCTTTTATGACATATGAAATGTCAAAAACTGTATATTTAAGTTCTTCACATGAAGACACCTGTAATTGCTAGAATTTATTTAGCTTAAGAGGCCTGGCTATTCCTCCATTCCATTAGTTACACTTTGGCTGGGGGGAGGGGATGTTTCCCCTGTCCTGCATTTAGACAGACCCAGTGTGGGGGAGGGGTGGGAGGGAGCTTTAACAGGCTATAACAAAGACTGGGATCCAGCGGAGTGGTTGAACTGTTAAGGAGGTGACTTGAGGGATGGGGAGAGTTCATTGCTTACTTGTTTGCAGGAAGAAGGGAGGACATGTTTGGGTTTGCTAGTTTTTGTTTCCGGGTGAGCAAGTGGATCGTATACAGAAAACCAAACTCAGAGAAGAGAAGGGAGCAGTGGACAGAGCTTCTCGAAGGAATGTGCCAGCTGGATGTTTGTTCCGCATTCATGGTTTGATTTTGAGATAAGAAGCATCACATGGTACGGGAATATCTGGATAAAAATGCACAGTGATGATATAAGGTTGTGTGAGATACTGAAGTCTAGAAATTGATGTCAACATTAACATGAAGACACTTAGAATCATGGCAGTCCACATCTTACATGCTTATCACCTACATTCCTAGCAACAAAACATCACCGAAATTGTAAAAATCTAGAAGTGGTCTGGAAAAGCCTCATGATGACTTGAGGCTTTGACTCAGGTCAAAATGACCTGAGAATGAAGTGTTTACTGTAGGGGAGAGCATTATGGAAGGAAGATGGACCAGGAGCCCAGTTACATTCTTTGAAAATGTGCCATCAGGAATGGCTTACCAGATTCTCCAACGGGAAAACTGAAGGAAAGAGCCCTTGAACTTCGAAAGAAGTAATTTTAGAACATACAAAGACCTTCTACTTTACTCTTAAGTTATAAATACATGCTGCAGAGTTATAAATACACCATACCCACAAGCATCAGAGGCAAACAAAATAAATGCTGCAGGGATAAAGCGCTCACAATGAGCTCTTAGGGAAATCAGAGCTGGTTAGCATGTGTCTATGCTTTGTGAAGTGATGTACTCATCGCTTTCTTCCTTCCGCCAGACATTTCCTTGTCTATCAGAGTAGTCTTCTAAATGAACAAACCATTGAGGATCTCATACAGTGAGACCCAAGCACAGCACTTGATGGGAGGTAGGCATTGGGGCGTTGTTTTGTGGAATCCCTTTTCATACTTTAGAGAAAGACCATCTTCCAAATACTGATGTTGATCTAACCTCCTAATACTTAAATCTGGATGAGTAAGGTATTTGAGGAATGCAAACAATTGTCATTAATAAATAAACACATGAGATACATTGCTATCAGCAATGTGATGTTAATGTATGGGATATGAGACTGGGTTGAAACTTCCAGGTTCTACTGTGGCTTGTGCTACTGTGCAGAGAGTGGTTCTTTTGGGGGTGGGGGGTTTGGGGGGAGTAGGGAGATGTAGGCAAACCGACACAGACAAACAAGGCTGGACCGACAGCTGTCTTAGGCTGGTAAGGTATTGCTTCAAACTCTTGAGGCATGTATTTATTATTTGTTTAAAGTTATCGTGGTCAGTACAGGCAATGAGAATAGGCTCGGTGTGTTCTCTGTTGGTTTGAACAAACTGGGTCTATTTCTGCTGAGCCGAACAAAGTCTCTGCAGTTAACCACATGCTTAGCCTTCTTTGGAAGCGGGTGACTGACATGTCCTTGCTCCTTGAGAAGCTCATTGGGCACCTCAGACTGCTGTGGCCACCCAGAGCAACCACCTGAGAGGTACCTAGCATGCTTACCTGCCTCCATCTTATTAGCTTTCAGCTACAGGTTGACTTCCTATATAGTATGCAGAGTCAGTGCCTAGTGGTTTTACAGATGATAGCATAGCACCCCGCTTCATTTAACTCTTCAGCTAAAACAAAAAGAACAGGGAGAAAAACTAGTCTGTAATTTTGAGATCTTTTTTTTTTTTTTTTTTTTTTTTTTACTTAAGTTATCTGCTGTGTCCATGGATGCTCAGTCACTGGACTGGTGCTTCATGAGGGTACAGAGGGTATTTCTGTAACCACGTCATCTAGCTCAGTGAGGGCAGGTAGTGCTTATAAAAAGAGCGACTAGAAGATTTAGAGACTATAATGCTAGTCCACTCTCTCATTATGTTCTTAGCGTTGTCCTTGAAGGTACTTTATGGCCGTTCTCTGTAACCTCACACTCTTCAAGCTCACAGTCAAGTCACGCTTAGGAAAGGAGGAAGGAGCACTGGGGGGAGAGCTACCCACATCATGGCAGCCAACAATACAGGAAGTTCAGCTGTTCAAGCCCAACAATTTGAACTACTCTTTCTAACGGCACAGTCTACATTGGATTAAGTTAGGCCCTGTAGAATAGCCTATGTTCAGCTGTCCTGGGTCCCTGGGGGAGGCTACCTGTAGTGGCAACTGCAGGGTTGACAGTGTGGCTTGGGAGAAATAATGTGGAGATCAGTTCTGGAGCTGTAAATTCAAGTTTCAGCGCCATGGACTTTTGAAGGGGCCATTTACCTTCCATGTGTTTCACTCACTGCTTCAAAATGTTAAGCTCTGATCAGATGCAAGATTATAGGGGACTTTAAGATGCACGAAACACTTCTTTATGTCTTCTTCAGGCTCATACTTTCCCTGGGAAGATAAAATTCACCTGCAAAACACTGATCTGCAAGGCAGAACCCGAGGAAGTCACAGTTGCTCTTTTAGATATATAAACCGTATCCTGAGCTAGATAAATGACTTCCTGCTGCACTAGTCAGGAAGGCACTATCGAAGCCAGTTGAGCTCAGGATTAAAGGATGATTAAATTTCCTTACGCCGCCGCCGAGAACTGGGGGAGGGCGCTTCAACCAAGCCCTGGGGCAGGAGCGAAGGTGCAGAGCTGGAGATGACAGCGCTATTTTGGTGTGCTTAGACAGATGGCTTGTGTGGGTGGCCTGCGAGAGATAAGGCGAGTGGCCTGCTTCATCCGTGTCACGGAGTGGGGACTTTAAATTTTAGCTTCGGCACTGGAGGACTAGAATAATGAAGATACCTCAAAGGAACCCTAGGATGGAAATCAGGAGCCTAGGCCTCCGCTTTGTCTCCCTTCCCCTGGACTCCCTTGGTCATTCACTAGGAAGCCACATTGTCCCCAGCTGTCTAGTGGAGGAAATTGACTGTCCCTACATGGTCCTAAGTCACAAGGACACGGTGAACAGCAAGAAGGAAAGGCAAAGGAAAAATGTCTGTGCTCTTCCCCAGCCTGAAGCAGCTATGGAGTAGTTAAGCTGTGTACACTTGGTAGCCCCAGACAGGAACATCTTTCTCTAGTGCTTCTTGCTCAGTAATGTATTCTTCTTCAGAACGGGCCAGAGAAGCTAGGGGAAAGTGCAAATTGTGATCCTCTGGGTTCACCGTGCATCTGCCGGTCTCGGAGATGGAGGCATGCAAGCGAAGTGTGTAATATCAAATGGAAGAAGGCTCATCGTGGCATCCTAAGGAAAGCCAAGGTTCGAAGCCTCCTGGAAGTCGGAGATTGGGTGGGATCTGAACCCCAGGGACATCCTCAGAGAGCAAAAGCCTTCTGGTGTGCCTGCAGTTCCTCAGCTGGCCGGCCCCTCTGCTCCAGGGAGGGTGCAGAACAGGAAGAAACACTTCTTGCCTTGCCAGTAACTTACCTGGAGCCAAGCTGCTTTGGCATCCAGTCTCCAGGCAGGATGGGTGTGCCTCTACCACAGCTTCCTGGATGAATGAAGCTTGCTCTTTTCAACTCATTTCCTCTGCTCTTGGATTCCAGGGAGGCTTCTACCAGAACAAGCCCTGTGTTTCCCAGACAAGAGTTGGTTTAGCAATTTCTGCTAAACTTGCCTACTCAGGTCAAGTTAGATGCCTGTTGAGACATCTCAAGTTCGGGTCCCAGAGGCTGTGGCTTCTTTTAGTGTTTAGGCTCTGTGGGGAGGATCAGGCTACCAGGTGGGCAGATCCATCAACATGGCACTGTCCCCCAAACCAC